CTTGCTCAGGCTGGTCTCGAACTCCTGAGCTCAAACAATCCGCCCGCCTCGGCCTCCCAGAGTGCTAGGATTACAGGCGTGAGCCACCGCGCCGGCCTCCAATTAACTCTTATGTAATGATAATAGAAAATAGCACTGAAGCCTAGTGTTAACATCTATAAATAAACTTCTCTATGCATTTAGAGAGAAGCCATGCTTCCAGAAGAATAAGTTCACAGAGCAGGGCATTAGATAAATGGGTAATAAACTGCCACAAGACACTGCCTACAATTTACTGGATATCTCTTCCGCAGTTGTTACATGGGTAGGAACCATTATATAATTTGTAAACACTCCACCACAGGTAATCAGTGTTTGACCCTAATTACAACAGTTCATTCGTAACAGCCAATTAAGAGGTAAATTAGGATAGGAAATAAAATGTATGCTACCAATTTTAAAAGATGGCGGAAAAAACAAATATTAGCTAATTAAAGGAGGAATAAGAAATTAAACCAGATGTTATCAGTCAGCTTTGCTGCAGTAACAAAATAACCCTGAAATCTTAGCGGCATACATCACACTTGTATTTCCTAGTCACATTACATGTCAGCTACAGGTTGGCTATGGCTGTCCTCAAGGCTGTGGCTTTTACTGCACGTCTTCTCATTCCAGGATCCAACCAGGAAAAACAGACCCTATCGGGACATGCCATTCTCAGGGTAAAAGGCAGAACAAGAAAGCTGACAGAAGCTTGTTATACCACTTAAAGCTTCTGTTCAGGACTGGCACACTAGCACTTCCACTCACATGCCATCGGCCAAGTCCTAATGCCAAGCCTGACTACGGGACAGGGAGGCACTACAAATCTCGCAGCAACAGGCAGTGAAGGATAATCAATCTGCTTACAGAGAAAGAAGCAAATGGCTGAGAACAATAATATAATCTAGCCCACTGGTCTTCTAGCTTTCACAACTAATTCTTTTTTCCCTACTGTTGGTAAGTCGGGGCAAAAGCATACGTCCGCAACTGTTAAGACAATGACTAAATAAAAAATCCAAAATGATGCCCAAAATGATTCCAGGAAGAGGATGACATAAACTCACCTCCCTTTACCTCCACTACCATTTTCAATCTATCTGCTGCAACAGAACAGCGCCTGGGGCTGCAGACAGCCAAATGGAAGTGAAGGCTTGGGTTCTTTGGAGTACAGAAGACAGAACTGGAATGTGTGCTTTTTTTATTTTCCAGCATCTGGGTAAGTGACTCAAGACAACCTCATGGAACCCTGGAAAAGGACCATAAGTTAATGGTTCTAGGAAATGCCTGGCCTGCAGAGATCTGATGACCCTTAGGTGGGGAGCAGGGGAGCAGCATAGCGACAGCTACCTGAATCATTAGCAGCCAAGAGCAGCCCCGGGCCCCAGTGAGCTGACCAAGAAGATATGACAAGACATAAGAAGGTTGAGCATCCAGAAAGACAAGAGATCAGTCAGAACAACGGGAGTAAAT